TATATATATATATAATATGGAGACCTTCAGGCAATTCCCCAAATTCTGTTATGTGAAAATGTTTCAATGATTACAGCTTGGAACCCAAGTGAGGACTACATCTTTAAAAACTCTAGCCTGCCCTCAACCCAGCTGAGCTCCCTCCAAGATGAACAAATTGATCCCTGACCTTTTTAAATGAATTTATATGCCTGAAATCTATGCTTTCCTTGCTATTATATCCCAAGCACCGAACATAATGTCTTGCACTCATTCGGTTCCTCATTTATCTACATTTATCGAGGACCTACAATGTGCCAAGCACAGAGCTAGTAGCTGTTAAAAAAAAAAATTCCTAACTGAAAATATGAACCATTTTATGTGCCCCCTCACATTCTCTTGGCCTCACACAGCTCCTGGGCCCTCTGCCACTTGCTTTTCTTCAGCTGTTTCTGCAGCTGTCAGCTCCTTGCCTGAGTTCTACTCAGTCTATACTGTTCTACAGCCTGAGGCGAATGTCCAGAATCTGTGCCACCTCCCATGACCTCCTCACATGCACATGGACGAAGCACCATGCCACAGCTTAGAAAAATCTGGCTTCACAGACTGAGTGGGCCAGGCAACAACACGGAAGTTTGGGGGAGTTGACTCGGTGGGGCAGACTTCAATGGCAGATAAACTTCTCCGTCTCTCTCCCTACAATGGACTGTTCTGAGGTATGGTGTTCTAGTACAGTAGACAGATGTTCCCTTTATAGAAGAGGCTCTCTGTGCCTCTTCTCAAAGGAGTGATACCTCTTGTGTTTACTCCTAGCGTCACTTCCTTTCTCCCTCACTTTTGCTGCCTGGGGATTGCATCGCCCAATGAAGCAGTAGCAATTAAGTGTTGCCTTAGGCTCTGTTTTCTGGTGAATCCCAGCGAAGCCTTACTCATAGATCCATGCCCTTAATAACCTCAGTTACCAACCCTTCTGCATATTGTACTTCGGGTCCTCTCCTTGTCCCTTGCATTCAATTTACATTCCAATTTCACTCAGCTCAATGTCATGACTCTCCTGCTTGTATCTCTATTTTGGCTCCACGTACTCCTACCCTTTTTTATCCCAGTCCCTGTTACCTTGTGTTTCTTTTTCCAGCCTTTGTTCCTCCTTCTACTATAGTTAATAATATTTTAATTTTGGGGGGGAAATTACTCGTCTCCTACCCTTAGTCATGTGATTCACATAAAACTAAACTTCCTTCCTGTACTGTCCAGGTCTTGGCCAACCAGTGTATTCCATACCCTTAGTCATAATGATTAGTTTGGAGATAGCCATATGACTAAGTTAGTCCAAACAGAGCTGGTCTTGAGAACTTGGTTGGAATTACTGAGGAATAAAAGCTCTTTTTTTTTTTCTCTTAAGAAGAGAAATGAAGTAAGCTTGGACATGGAGTCAGTCTGAGAATGAAGCCAGATCCAAGGGAAAGGGAAAGGGAGGCTGGCTTTTGATGAGGAGGTTCGAACTGCTGAATTCATTCATGCCTGAGGTTTTCTACCCTTAAACCTTAAAGTTTTTTGAGGGAATAAATTGCATTTTTGCCTTTTGGTCCCTGTAACTGAGGTGTACAGATAAATATAGTTTTTTTCTTTATAAATGCCCAAGCTCCTGGGCATTAATATAAACACCTGGGGTACCCAACATGAGATAAAAGCAGAGCTCCCTAGAAACTTGTGATTTCCATACCTTTCCACTACAGTACTGTCGGATGAACGTAAATGAGTCATTTGGTAAAGACAAGGATTAAGTTACTGGCCCTGGGGGCAGACACTCCACACCTGGTACTCAAGTAGCCATTACCACAGTACACTCTGTCTTGTCACATCTTGCCTCTCCGCTTTCTCTCCTGACCTATGTTTCTGTCTGAGTGCCTTGCCAGCATCTGATGCAACTTCTTAAATTCTTAAAACTGCAGGGGAATTTTATGGCCATTCAGGCACACAGTTCTTAAGTAGAGCAGAGCAGGTGGAATTTCTGGCACCCTACCAGGCTGGAGGTACAAAAGCAGGTCTACTGCCCTGGGATGTGGGGGCAGCTCTAGGAGGAACTTCCCAGCCTGACCACCTGTGCCTTCCAAAGTTGGTTCTCGTTTATCATTTCTACTTGACTCATATTCTGGTCTCTCCTAACTCTTTGTTGAGTGGGCCTCTCTTCCTAATACGGTTTTACTTCACTTTGCACACACTCTCACCTGCCCTAGGCCATGTTTCTTCAGCTCCCCTTGATGCTTTGGATCCTCTTCCTTCAAATTGCCCCTCTATGAAGGTGGGTCTTATCAATTCTTTCCAACCTGATGCATGGGACCTAGACACTCGTGAAGTCTAATTACTGTGAAGGAGAGCTATTTACTCTGACTCAGGCTGTACCAGTGTGTCCCCAACCAGCAACAAAGGACACCCTTGGAACTCTTTGCCTACCTCACCGAGCTTCCTGTAGACCTCCAGAATTTAGGTATAGCCTGCTGTGTTCTCAGAAGAGAGTCCTCATGCAGTGATTGGATGTGCATTGAGCAAGATCTAAAGCACATGCAGGGGATTTCTCCGCTTACACATGATGAGTG